AAGATCCAGACTGACAAACAGGTGATGGCTAACCAACCAGACATCGTGTTGATCGACAAACAGCAGAAGAAGGCAGTAGTGATAGATGTGGCAATCCTAAACGACAGGACCCGAGCAGCATCAACACCAACTCAAATGCTTGTAAGTGCAAACCTGCTTGGGATTAAATTTGATTCTGATTCTACCAACTGCAGGATTCTGTGCCTTAAACTCAACTCTATACAGTTTAACAAGTCCAGCAGACGGGCTGCAATCTTCCGGTCCAGATCTATGTGTGACTAAGACACCTGTTCTTGGTGTGAATCTGGTCGAGATCAAACACAGAACGCTTTAACCACCAGTCCTAATTTTCACCCCAGCATGAGAAACCCACACCTAGTGACATTTTTCAATTACAGACAGCAGAAAGCTGTGTGTGATCTAAATGACCTTGGATGGAAATTTGATGATCCATGGCCTTGAGTGTCCAAATGGGCAATGCATCTCAGCATAAAATACCCTTCACCTTGAGTAACTTATTTCACTTTAAATCTCTGTGAATGTTTCTTTTTTTACAGCTATAGGCTTTGTTGACTTTATCCTCTTATTTATGGCAATTCATAATCTAAGACATATTGAAGGTGAAAGCATCATGATAAATAAAAAAAGGGGAAGCAATACTGTCTAATTTGAATCAAGCAGGATGCATTACAATTGGACTTGATGTACAAAAGCTTAATGTATGCACCTGTGAACTGGAGCTGTCAATAATTCAGTCAGCTAAATGAATCACCAGCATGTAAGAGCCAGCTCACATAGTTCAGAGGACGTCAAGGCAAACGAGCATTTCAGCCAATATGATACCACTATATCAACTTAAAGGCATGTGTCACCTAATCAATACAGTCATTTCTTTAGTTTTAAAATAGCAATTACAATTTTTATATTTAATTCAGTGCCATAATTATGAACAAAGAACATGTTATACTCTTTGTTTTCCAAAATGTCACCTATTTGTATGTGACATGTCAGAGCATTCAGAGTGTTGCATCTCTTAGCTCTTTTAACAGAACCAAGGCTGACAGTACTAAATGTGTGCAGGCTCATGCAAGCAATCACTTCTGCAAAGATTTTCTATTTGTACATGGCTGTAACTCTGTCCAGGCAGTTTAGGTGTGCAGTGCCACAACTCAAACCCTGACGTCTAACCTTCATGATTCAGTCATTTAGCAGGTTTAGATATACTCCACATCAAGCTGTCAGTCAAGCCCTAGCGGCTGTGTGTCTCCTGACCTCGCAGAGCCGATCTCAACATCTGTCCTCTAACCACTACTGTCACATCTCGCACGCCATGCAATATGTCTGCGTCTGCCTGAAATAACACCCAGAAAAAGACAGAGTGGAAACGGCTACTCTCTGTCAGGCCTGCAGACATTTACAATCATACTTTTTATGTCCAAGCGAGAAGCCAATTTTGACACACAGTACATTTCTCTAAATTAAAATCTGGAAATAAAATGAAGATGGTAGTTTCACTGCACAGCAATGGTGTTTTACACCACAGTCATTTTTACACAGTATTTCAAATTGCTGGAGAAAAAAAAAATATTTTTTTTTTAATCTATCATTTTTTTTATTTATTTTTTATTTATCCTTTATTTAACCAGGTAATACCCATTGAGATTAAAAATCTCTTTTGCAAGGGAGACCTGGCCAAGATAGGCATCAAAATTACATCACATCATTACATATGTATAAAAGACACACACATAAAAGCCAAATATGCACTTACAATAAAATTTCAATTAAAACATTGACATGTGAGGGAGTCTAACTCAAAACATCTAATTCTCAACTTAAAAGTATTCAATTTCCTTTTTTTAAATGTGAGTGGATTATATTACCATGTAACAGCAATAGTTTGTCTGATTTAAAATTGGGTATCAGTAATAATAGTTGATACTCAGAAAAAAAAAATATATATATATTGGTTTTGTTTTGCAGGATTTAGTCTTTCTAATTGAATATTTAGTTTGATTTAATTGTAGATATATCCAGGATCTCAGTTCAATATATTTGCTACTGTACAAATATGTCAATACTAGTTGGTATGACAATAAAGTTCCATGAGTCCTTGATCGATATCATCAGCATGTCAAACAACAAAAACTCTCATGATCTCGCACTGATGCCTGGTCTGATCACACACCTCCTTAACTCCGCCCAGTTCTCATTAACTCTCACCTGATGCACCTGCATGTGTCAGTATATAACCAGCCTTCAGACCAGTCATCAGTGCCAGATTATTTCGAGCCATTAGTGAGACTTATTCTAGCATTCTTAGTTCTGACTTTCTGAGCCTGACCTGTCTGCCTCTTGACTTCTGAGCCTGCCTCTTCCCACCTGATTATGATTGCCTGACCAGTCTTCCGACTTCTGCCTGACTTGACTACCTGCCTGATTTCTGTCCGTTGTGTACCGACCGGATTAACTTCCTAAATATTTAACCTGCCTGCCCTCGTCCAGCCAGTCTGCTGCTCTGTGAATTGAACCTGGAACTGTGAACCTTTGGCATGTCAACGGCTCTGATCTCCTGACTCCGACCATCGACCACATCCCCTGACTTAATCTTTGGCTTCACTCTACACTTCATCCTGCTCGTGTTCATCTGCACGGTTCTTACCAAATTCCTTTCCTCCGACCTCCGATACCCCTGCGTCTGGTACTCTCTGAGCGGCAACCACCTCACTGGGTTGGCAACCCACCTCCTGGACTAGAACTGGACATTAAGACCAGATTAGTGACCTACACGTTTGTGTGCAAGCACTTTAAGCGAAACGAGGTCACTAACCTGTTTCCACTTTAGACGCTTATGCCACCCGCTCTGCTTCTGCTCTTAATAAACTGTTAAACCTAAACTGTTTGTCTGCCTCGAATACTGGGTCCACCTGTTCTGAGCCTAAAAAAAAACGGCATGTATTGCACATCTGACTGGATGCTATCATAATCGTGCTACAATCAGGATTCCCTTTCAATAAGTTAGCATTTTCAGAGCTTTTGGTGGTTATATATTATGGATTAACTGGTTGGAAAATATTTGAATTTGTCTTTCCCAGCTGGTTTATCCGGGCTGGTGAAGTCTGGTCAATGCTTGTCATAAGTAACATTTTCTTTTCATTTCTAAAGTAATGAAGATATAAAAAAAACTCTCCTCAATTAGATAAGTTTTATTCAAAAGTTCTAAAAGCATCACTTCCTGTAATATATGCGCTATAACTGGTATTGTGTTTTAAATCAAAGGAATTCATGAAAGAATGTCAGTGCTTCTGCCCTAACATTGTGCTATTTGTTTCTAAAACTTGAAAATGCAGCAAAAATGATGCTTAAACTTAGTAATAGAAAGTGCAAAGTGATTTTGCACTTTTATGCTGTGCATATTCATGATAAGGTACAGAGGATAAGCATTGATCGTCAAGGTCATAACACCAATATATATGGATGTGAGCCAAAAAAAATCAAATTAATCTAAAAACAAAGATTAAAATGCAAAATAAATCTTACCTCAAATTACTCAAACATATCTGTTAGTTTAAATATAGGATAACAATTTCATCTGTAAGCTGAGTTAAAACTTTATGCTCCACCAATTAGATTTCAGGTGCCCTGTTTGACTAGTGTGAGTCAGTGTTGTGTTGGAGTTATAAATATATACCCCAACCCGTCCAAAATCCAAATAGAAGAAGTGCGTCAGTTTAAAAGATGAAGAGCTGTCAGAGAAACCAGGCGCAGGTTAATAACTCAGAGGCAGACTGAAGACATTGGAGGAAAATATCTGACATTTTCTTGTAGTGAGACGAGACATGTCAAAGATCTGAGTGTGCTGAGCTTTAGCAGTGATAGTTTCCAGCACTGACAGCCACTCCACCCACCTTCCTAAAACTTTTTCACTTGCCTCATTTCACTTCTACTCTACAGGAGATACATGCCCTTGAAGCTTCAATAGTAATTAATCTACAATTACTGAATAGGTCCTGATCAGAACATCCGTCTGCAAAGCTTGTAGAATAAACAAATGTTAACTATGTGGAACCGATTCAAAGAGAAATACGTTTGGCAAACAAACAAAGGAAATAAAAAATTAAAGGACTGCAATGGAGAGAGAGAGGGGGGAGTTCTGATGGCGGTAAAGTTTCAGGGGCAAACCTTATCGATCTGGAGTCTTAATTAACTGACGGATGCCTCTGACTCAGTCTGTGATCTTCTATGATCAGTGCCAGAGTGGCATCACTCTTGAGGGATTTGGAAGGGAGAGGATGGAAAAGTAATAGGAGAGTGGATAGACGAAGGGCAGAAGGGCAAAACTCCACAATAGAAAAGACCAGAAACTCACACTCCTTTAAATTATGATGGATTTATTTTAATCAAATGCCTTATTTGGAAAAAAAAATGAAATAGGTAGGTGGTTTATAGAAATATGTAAAAATATTCTACAAATCTGACCACAAGCCCTGTTCAACAAACATTCATGAACCTGCTGAGGGCTAAGAAGGGAGGAGGGGAAACCCCTTGCCACGCTCCATCATTCCTCACACTGATGCAATCACCTTCAGCCTCTGAAGGTGGATATGTGAAAGGTCTGTCAGCGGTGAGATGACAGCAGTGACTGGTTGAGGATTGAATTGCCAATTCTAATCTACCTAAGAAGCCAAGATCTCAGCCCACTGATTTAATTCAGCCAGAATTGAAATTGACCCAAATGAAACCAGTGGAGTGAAGTGGAGGTAGGGGGGATTGGGGCTGACGTTAATCCCTGGGGAGGTTTGAACAGCGAAATGGTGCCTCTTGGAATGTGAAGAAAAAAGATTGGGCTTTGAAAATGATGTTCCTCTAGGCTTAAAAAGAGGGAGGTACAACACACATTTCATAAGCTTTGTTGTTAGCGTCAGACATCAAATGTATGCGGTTAGCAGGCAGAATACACGTCCCATCAATCTAGTAAACATAAATAAAATAAAACTGACCGTTGCGTGCAGGTACATTAGCCCGGGTTGTAGGCGTGTTGTCCAAGCTGTCAATAGATTCATAAACAAACTGAGAGTTTGGATCGTCATTGTTTTCTGAAGGAGACTTAATGGGAAACTCCAACATCCCTGGGCTAGCATAGGCTTCCTGAGAATTGACAGACATGGAGAACAAGAGTTAGTCTTTTAACAACAGTAGGGAGATTGCTTATAATAGGTGAAATATTCAAACAGCTTTAATGTGTAATAACCACAAACTTTAATGTACCTTTCTGGTATTTTACCTGAAAGGCCCCAAAGCATGATAGCTCATGTTTAATGAGAAAAAAAGAAAATGAGAAATTTGTTTCTCATTTTTATTTAATCAAAGCCTAAATGTAGGGCATGCAGTTGTGTATTGCCCATTTTACTGTGAAATCTTTAATTATATCAAATCTATTGATTCTGAAAATATTATGATAGGTAAATAGGTTGTGTAAAGATGTTAGTGGACAATGGGACATGACTCTGAATGCCATGGATGCCCATTAAAAGTTCAGATATGAATGAGACTGAGAATATGTGGTAAAAATACAAAATAAAACAAAAATAAAACAATTGTGATACCTTTCTATCATACTGGAAAGTGCTTGATAGATTTTTTTTCTACCAAAATTGAGCAAACATTTCCTTTTATAGATTTGTATAGCTAGTAATATAGCTCAAAAACATCATTCTAAAAAAAGATTTGCTAAATATAAATGCACACAACACTTCTCTATGTATTTGGAAAACATGATTTGTATTTATTTCATTCATTTTAAAAATTATTTTGTATATCAAATCATATTCAAAACACAGCATGGCTCTCTTTCAAAGCACCATGTATGTTAATATATCAGGACATTCCCTTTAAAAAATTTTCTGCTAAAGAAAACTTGGTTTATGTTCAAAGAGAGATGAGGCGTCTTTCACAGTGTAGCTTTTAAATGCTGGTTAGCAACATTATCCCAGGAAATTGTTTTCCTAAGACATAATCTAACAAAATAGAGATAAAAAGTGACAAGTGCATGATGTCGACTGCTTTCTTACTAATAAAAGAAACTATTCTTTACCGCATGGTTCTCATATTGTGTCATCCATATTCAAGAAAGATAGAACCAAGGCCTGAGTATCAATCTCAGCTTAGCTTGGTATTTTCCAGTTCAGCAGTGTGAAACTGGTCCAGCAGGAGTCCAAGCTGGATAAAGCTCCATGGATTTCCCATAGGCCAACAGACAGCTGTCTCTGACAATGAGCTTGAGTCAAGGGACCAGTGACATTTGCCATGTGGTCGATGTTCTGCACTGCTGATCTCTGAGCCCACCATGAACTTATCCCACAAGCCACCCCTTATACAGGGAGATGTCTGCTGTGACTCCACTATACCATGCAAATGTTGAGTTTTAACTGATAACAGGTTATCAGCTACTTTATTTTTGGACAAAACCAGTGGAGTGAGACATTAGATGCAATTCAGATGAAAAATAAAAATAAAAAACCTAGAATCAACTCCCAAACATGCATCTGTTTCCCTCACAACCTGTTGTTTTAATATACTTCTACAGCAAGCTTTAAAGCAGGACACCCGGACTGGAATTGAATAGACCTACTGTCCTGGGGGCTTCATCACAAAGGCGAGTTATAAAAGCAGCGACATGTTAGGAAAAGAGGAGAGTAAAATCAAGAGAACTTGGACTTTAGTGTAAACATATGGGGCGGGACTGTAGGGGTTTTGCAGCCGAGGCCCCAGAGAACCGAAGCTGTTGCCAAGTTGTCTAGCTGTGTGAGCAGTATCCACCACTACAGGGTCAGGGGTACTTATTGGAAGTTTAATAAAAATAAGAGGTTTAACGTGGTTGAAAGCACAAAATCTTGTGAACAGCGTGTTGATAACAGCAGAGAGGGAGAGGAGCAGTGCCTATGCACGGCTGGGTCAACACAATTACAATCAGAGCCATGGCTGCAGCCAGCCTTTTAATAAAAACCATCTCCCTGGAAAAATGAGCCTCAGTAAGGTTAAATTGTTGAAATTAAGATGCAATCAACTTCCTTTCTCCCCTTTATTTAACTGCTTTCTGCAGTTTTCAACATGTGCTTAGCTCTAGTTAGTCACAATACATATAGAGGAGAGACAGAGGGGTTTGAGCGTTTACTTGACTAGACAGGGATTTCTAGAAACAAAGCATTACCTGGCATAACCTTTTTTTGCATGATAGTGAAGTTCAAAGAGGAAAAGGACATAAGGTTACCCTAAAAATAATAATGTATTTTTTTTGTTGTTTTTGTTTTTTTTTGTTACCAATTTAAAGACATTTTGCTTCCTATACAGGAAGCTTTATAAATTTAAAATGTCATAGTGTCGAGTTTGAGGTTTTATAGAATGGACCAAAAGCAAAGCCTTGTTTTGGCTTAGAAAACCTGCAAGCCAAACCGAACGAATCGGTCCGCCCCTTAGGGAAGGGCTGTCGTCTGGGTTCTTTGTTAGCCTGCAATACCCAAAACCTGTCTATGTTTTTGAGTCCGGTGTCCGGTGGTCTCTTTCCAAAAAAGTGAAAAAAAGAAACAATCCACTGGACTTTATTTTCAAGTTTGAAGACATTTCACTTCCCATCCAGGAAGCTTTTTCAATAAAAGAAAAAAAAAACAAAAAGACGGCCCATTCCTAAGGGAGCGTTTATCTGGTTCAATTTACATGTTTACTAAGCCAAAACAAAGTATTGTTTTGGTCCACGTTATAAAACCTCAAACTCAACGCTATTTCTGACATTTTGAATCGAAAAAGCTTCCTGGATGGGAAGCGAAGCATTTTCGAACTTGGAAACAAAGTCCAGTGGATTGCTTTTTAACTTTTTTGGAATAAGTGTTACCTAGATGACTAAGAATCTCCACAAGCATGGCTTTCTTATGCATTTAGCCATGTTTTAATGCTAAATGATCTGTACTTGTATAGCTCTATATCGGCGGTTTTCAAAGTGCGAGGGAAAAAATAAATATGGATTTAGGACAAAGTTGGAACAGTGGGGTGCGCATGTGGAGCGGGGATCAGTGGAAATGTTTCCCACCTTAGAGGATGTTTTGGCCAGAGCGGGGCTGAATGTGGAGTTTTTACAGCAGGCTGTCTGCGCGCATTTGGAGGGGATGCGCAAGCAGTTAGGAGAGTATTTTGGAGAGGAGACAATGGCCAGTGGGTGAGAAACCCATTTTCCTTCCCCGTGACACTCAAAGATGGACTTTCAGCAGGAGAGGAAGAGGCTCTGGCTGAGCTGAGCTGTGACATGGACTTGAAACAGAGGATGAGTGACGTGTCACTTGCGCACTTTTGGCTGTCAGTAGGGACTGAATTTCCACAGCTCTCAATGAAGATCTGATCAAAATGTTTTTGTTAAGATGTGAAAACACTGTTGGTATCTCAAACATTAAACTCATAATCTCAGATGTAACGTTTGTTTGAGAAAACAGTTGAAAAGTGAGTTTGGGGTTGTTCTTATCATTAGAAAAATGAAAAAAGGGCGTATATGCCATACAAAGGCCCCGATAAAATAATTAAAATGGGAGGAAATGTTTTAAAATGTTCATATAAAAAATTTCATTCAGATAGTGTCATTTTAAACGATGAGATTGTTCTAAAATAAAAGCAATTACGAGGTGTTTTGTAGTGGCATTTGTTTGTGTGTGGTCAGTCATTTACATCGTGACGGTGGTAAGCTACATGGTAGCCACAGCTACCCTGAGTCTACTACACAATCTGCACCACTAGGCCCTTGGTAACCACCCAAACCCGACAAGGCAGTGTTTCATCCATGGACACAATCATTGGATGGATGCTGGAGCTGAAACTGGCAACTCACTGTTTACAGGACAAACTCCTCAGCTACTGTGGTAAGATTTCTACAGAAAAATGAAGCACCACTAAAAGAAAATGGCAAAAAAGAAAGCCACTGAAGAAAGAGATCCATAAAAAAGTGCCATGAGCCATGGAGAGAACATGGCAGAGAGCAGGAGATGAGCTTGAGTCAAATTAATGTTTCACAACAGCCAAATATTAACTAGAGGCACTGCTACTTACTGACACTAACTTTTACGAGCAGAAAGATGTGTGTGTATTCTAGAAATGTTGCAGTGATAGTCAAATAGCCTTATAACTCATGAGGGAAGTAATTTATATATGTCAAAAAAAAGATGCAGAATTTGATATTCCACACGTTTCTTCCTAAAACTGAAATGAGAGTTATACTTTATTCAATACGACCCACTCCTGTTTCACAAAGCCTGGCAATGAGTCAAAAAGAAGAGTAAAACTGACAAATATGGTAATTTCCACTTAACGGCCACTTCATGCAAGACTGCCTCGTTCATTATAAAGTTGATGAATGAGAGCTGAATGCCTCTAACAGGGCCACAATAGGAGGTGCGGTTCTTTCAAAAGCAGCAGCGGATGCCATCTGAGAGCCAAGCGGAGAAAGCAAGCCCAGTGGCCATGCATGCGGGGGACCAGGTGGAAGCAGAGTCGCATACCCAGGCTGATGTTTGCAGTAAAACCTGACTGCTCAGTGAGAATGGACTAATTGTAAGCTATATTTCATCAGTGAGTCAAACAACAAGACCCCAGCTGGGTGTTTTTAACTAATAAGCCTCATCAGGCTGGTCATGGTGAGGGACAAAAAAAAAGACATTTCTCTTGAGCTACAGTTACATAAAAGGGGATTCATATTTATACCCTTCAGTGTCTAACAGTAAATACTTTACTGTTTCTATATATGTAGAATGAATATCTTGGAATGGGTCAGAAAATGCAGTAATCAACCCTGTTAGGAACTCTTATTTGCCACCTGCACTGCAAAAATGATCTCAAAAAGAGAGTAAAAATGTCTTAAATTAAGGTTATTTACCCTGAATTTGAGCAGGTAAATAAGATGATTTGCCAATGAAATGAGTATTTTTACTCTTAAAATAAGGTATCTAGATATTATGCACTTAAAATAAGACAATGCAGTTGTTTTTTTCTTTTTTAAGTGTAAATTGTCTTGTTCCATTGGCAAAGTGTCTCACTTAAATCCTTAATTCAAGAAAAAATGCACTTATTTTAAGAAAAAATGACTTATTTAGATTTCATTTTTTTGCAGTGTG